AATAAAGATCTCTACACTTTTTCAAGTATTCAACAAATGCTATCTCTTGATCTTTTGTGAAAATCTGTATGAACAATGAAAACAATAAAAATGGGAATCAAAAAAGAAATTTATTGAAATCAATTGATCGAGAACATATCGTTGGTGCACTGCCCGTACAAAGTGATTGAATTTTTATTAAAAGATTGTCGTCGCTGATTGTTGAAAAGTTGTCAATTTGCTTATTAAGCTGCAAAACATACCGATTCAAACTTGTTCTATGAATATCGTATGACAAAGCAACGCTTCGTATCAATTTTTTCCCCAATTTTATTTCTTTAATGGCATTAATCAATGCAGTGAGATGTTTTGCTAGACGATCAGTTTTTCGCTTATAAAATCTCATTCTAATATTCAAAAAAATATAGAAAAATTATTTTAAAATTAAAAAAAAATATCAAAAATGAGTCTATATATGTTTATATGTGACGTTCAGTGCTTCGTCTGTGAACATGTGTGAAAAAATCCATTGACCAAATTACGCTATATGCAGTTGACCAAATTACGTTAATCAAGCTTGTTGAAAAAAAAATGACATAAAAATTTTTCCACGCACTTCACAGCGAAACGCGATTAATCACATGAAAGAGAATAAAAAACCATATCATAACACACATTACTTGCATCAAATCACGAAAAAATTACCACTTTACAGAATAAACTATGATATCAATTTTAATTATTTTTCACAATTTTTTTGCTTTTTTCTGCCGAGCAAAAATTAACACGTCTATTTAGCTGCATGTCTCATCAAAAGTGAGCTAATACAATGACAATTTAATAACATAAACGATAATTGTCTAGTGCGACTGCAGCGCTCAAAAAATGTTGTTGATCAAATTACGCTATTTTACCCTACTCATATTTTTATATTGTCATATACATATAAACATCGTGCTTTGGTTCACAGCCCTTTACTTCTTATTAATTTATTATTTATTAAGCCGGATATTTGCAAATTTATAATTAATATTTTTTTACGTAACATTCAAGATCCTTAAAATTTCAAAATAAAATTTTAGGCATTTTGTTTAAAAAACTTAAAATAATTTTCGAGAAAAGATAACAGAGAATTAAGGAATCTTGTCATTGACAAAGTAAAAAATTGAATTTGTTTGCATTTTTTGAAAGTTTAATGTATTAATAATATATTCCTAAAATGATTTTTAAAAATTCTAAATATTTAGAAAGTTATGCGTTTTTTTCCGAGATCGTGCACAAGTAAAAATCGGACAAAACACTTCAAAGTCGAAGCGTTTTGAAAGCTTGAGATAAGCAAAAACGACTCGCAGAGGAAAAAGTAGCATTACGATCTACAAAAAAAATAGAAGATTTATTATTTGGTTCTGGGATGGATTGGTATGAATAATCTGTTAAATATACGAAAAAGTAAAATATTAATCAAACATATTAGAGGCTGTATTATGAAAAATATAGTACTACTTAGGTTTTATTATATTTAATTTGGATATAAGTTTTTTGTTCAAGGAGTGCGCTTACATTTGACACCCCTTTTCATTTTTTTTTAAATAAAAGAGTATTTTGTAACGATATCACGCATTTTGTAGTGTTAAGCATCACAATATGATATAAGCTGCTGGAAAAGTTTCTGCAATTTAGTACTTCCAATGGCGCCAACGTTCTGCTACTATTATATCCGTGAAATTAAACGTTTCTAACATATAATTCAATTGACAGTTTGTATCTAGCCAACTAGTTTTGTTTGCACAGTATTTTAAAAAAAGTTATTTTGTGACAAAATAGAAATTTCACGCGTGAAAATTTTCGGGCAATGATTTTTTACAATTACAAATATAGTCTAACTCCGAAACAATGCATTGATCTTCATTTGGCTTTTGGGGATGAAGCACCATCCAATAGGACTTTATAATTGGTTTGCCGAATTCCAGCGTGGATGCACCTTTCTTAGCGACGAATTTTGTGAAGATGGTCCATCCATGTCTATTGTTGCCACTAATGTTGATGCTGTGCATGAAATGATTGAGCGAGATCGGTAAGTGACATACCGCGAGATTCAGGCATCCTTGGGCATTGACATGAAAACAATACATACATACGATTTTACATGAATGAATTGCGTACAACAAACCGAAATCGTCGCAATATCCTTCATCATGACAACGCCAGCTGTCACGAAGCACGCCAAACCGTTGGTTTTTTATCTAGTAAAAATGTCGAATTGATGACTCATTGTTCGTACTCACCTGATTTATCATCCAATGACTTCTTTTTGTTCTCAAACATAAGATGCGTGGTGAACGATTTGTGTCGCCTGAAGCAGCTGTTGAAACATTTTGAACACTGATTTCTTGAAGACAGCCTTAGAGTGGAAAAAATGCTTCGAAAATTGGAGCGTATGCAAAAGTGTATCGATTTTAAAGGCGAATACTTTGAAAAACAATAAAGCCATTTACCGAATTTTGCATTTTTTTTTTCATATCGTTTGCAGAAACTCTTCCAGCAGCCTACTAATAATAATTAATGCTTGCTTGCGGAGGATTTTTTATTGTGTTTGTGAAGCTGGTATATCATTTCGTGGAAGCTCATTAAATATTAAGAGTTCTGAGTGTACTTTCAATAATTCTATAATTCTAGATAGGTTATACTAATAGTTCTGACTATTAAAGCCAAAAAAGCCAAAGTGCAAACTGAGATGCAAGGTTCACGCAGCGTCTCACTTTGTCCTTTGAATATTTACGCCACAGAATCTTATAGGATTTTGAAAGATCCTATAGTTTTAGATGGGTTTTAGAAAGAGTTCTGGCGATATAACTTTAATTATATTTTAATTTTTTCGCCATCCAAAAAATTGTATTTACGGGAGCAAAGTGAGACGCTGTCCCATTATCGAGAGTTCTGTTAGTTTTACAATATTTCTCGTGTAGTTCTCATTGTATCTAAACATTTTCTAAAGAGCTCTGACAAAAAAAAATTATTAGTTTTTTTAAATTTTTATCATCACAAAATGCACCTTATTGGATGGGTGAGAAATATTGCTATGATTAAAATTATATTTGTTAATTACATTTAATACATTTTAATTCTATGTAATATTGTGTTGCAAGAAACAATTTATATGAGCTTATATGACAGACAAAACGAAGTACACTCTTGTAAGTTATTTATAATAATGTATTTAAAAATTTGATAATCTGATTGAATTACTAAAATAACTATTTAAATAAATCGTTTTGCAGTCAGTACTTGAATTTCTTACCACACCTTTTCAGTTTGACCTAGAATCTGAAAGGTGGGCGCGGCATCCTTAATCCCCTTTAAACTTCCTTACATTGCATTACTTCCTTTAATTATTCGTAATAACGAAGAGGATGATTAAAAAGTTATTCCGTTACTAATTAAACGAATCACTGTAATACGAGATTTTTTCTTGCACACATGCGCATACGTATGAAAAATAAAAGTAATATTAATTTTTAACAGTTTATTAAATATAAATAAATACAATTAACAGTTTAATAAAGCAAGTAATGTCAATTAACAATATCCTATTCAAATCTAAATATTTAAATAGTTAACTTTTAAATATCCTATTCAAATATAAATATTTAACTTTAAATAGTTAACTTTTAAATAAATCTTATATTAGCGTAATTCTTTTGTCTGTTTTTGCGCGTTTTATTCCAATTTTAATCGTATGCTATAAAATTCTATTTCCTTCAAAACGAGAAAGTAAAAGAAAGATTCTTTCAGTACCCATGCTTGTGAGTTACATACTGGTCACGCGGTCTCATTGCCAAATATGGCTGGCCGCGATATTCTTAGCACAGCTCGAGCACGAACGATACTAGACGGAATCGCCCGACAAGCATACCTATCCGTCCATATTTCTTCGTCTTCCTCCGCACTGTCTTTTCTTAATGTTGTCATTATTTATTCTTAAGAAAATTAAACTACAAATGCCAAAGATTTAAAATACATGAAGAAGTAAAATTATATAAATAAAAATATATTGAAATTTATCACTGTAAAAACTTTGTGTTCATTAGAATTGTTAGAAATCGTTTCGAGATTTTGGATAGAGAAAAAATTGACCAATGCGGTCGGTCAATTGTTCATATATCATTTGTTAATTTTTTTTCTAAGATCTCAAAGTGATTTCTAGCACATAAACACAAAGCTTAAAACAAGAATGGTTATAGTTTTTTTTCCGTTTCTGCAAGGAACATATATACATAAAATACAGATATAAAATTAACAGTTATCGCATATAAATGCCACTTCATTTATTTTAATTGATAAAATATAGATATGAAAGATTGTTTATATGTGTATATACAACGTACATACACACACACACACACACACACACACACACACGCACGCACACGCACACGCATATATATATATATATATATATATATATTTATTTATTTATTACTTAAAAGGAAATTACTATATTAAAATTAATATATTAATTACTTAACTTAAAAAAAAAATATATATATATATTTATTTATTACTTAAAAGGAAATCTGCGGGTTTTGGGATACCCTGTATATATATAATA